GAATTAATGCCTTTGCCTAACTGCTGCGACCGCTGCCCCCTATCGCGTCCGAGATGCTCTTTCGCGTTTTCCTTTTCCTCACAGCGGTATCTCTTCCGTACCACGGTCAACCTCACGAGAAAAATTTCAATGTTCTCTATGAAGCTCGCCTTTCTCAGCAGCGTTCCCGCTCCGCATTTCTCTAATTTTCGGACTCAATAACACACCAATTTATCGGGACCCTTCTCTTACAGCGCGTTCCGAGCCGGTCAATTAGGCGGAATCAAATGGACCACAACCCCGTCCCATTAATGGGCTCTTGTGTTACCATTACAAGGAGCTGGGGCACACTAACGAGAAATGTGCCGTAGTTGTTCTGGCTTTTTCGTTTTTTCAAGCCTCAACCGCCTTCCACACATTTATTGTATCTAAGCGTTTTTTTCCTGTTTTTTCCACTGAATCTTAATATTTTCTCCACTTGCCGAGGTGCGTTTCAGTTACCGACTCACATCCGAAATATAACGATGGAAAGCAGGGGTCATGGGAAGGCGAATGTTGGATTTCGAATATTAGCACGCAAACGTCAGCGGTCCAGACGTGGGCTCACGCACGACGATTACTACCCTGTTCGTATAACGGTGCTTCAGGAACGGATTTCTCGAGGGACACTTCATCAGACAGTGTGTCTGCGGTAGGTGAACTTAGTTACGTTTTGCTTGTCATATGATTTGCTTTTTCAGGGCGTTGTCGCCATTTGTAACGACAGCCGAAATCACTCATGGCCTCTATACTGGCTTCTCTACATCCCTTGATAGCATTGCAATACTTCCGGTTAGTTTTCATTTATACGAACAGGTTCTCCAATGCAATGACCTACTAGGCTGAACTGAGCTACCATAGTCGAAGGTATTTTGGATTTCCACTGCTCCATAGCTGCCAATTCTGATACGAAAGCAGCGATTGCGATAGAATCTAGACGGGTTTAAAGTGGTATCAGGGTCTAAATGAAGCGCCAGTGGCAGAAAAAGCAGAGAAGTTCGTCAAGAACGCGAGGGAAAGGACCTTCCTGTTTGCACGTTGATTTTCGACTATGGACGAGCATCGGCCAAGAAAGAGGTCGTTGGAAAGTGCTAACTGAATGCTCCACGGAAAATTCTTGCATTTTCAACATGAATATGTCAGTTGTGATCACTGGAAACAGCACACAAAGTTTCACGCATGAAGATTCGGTTTCTGAAGAGAAACAAACGTACAAAAACCACACTCTATGGACAGTCGAAGGTAGGTCGCGCGGAGCCAAAGGCGGGGCATGGAAAGAAGTCGCCTTGGGGCGGCTACGTATCAGGCGACGCATTGAAAGAATCGGTTAAAGCGTTCGATTTGGAGAATAGAGACAAAGATCGATAGAATAGGATGCAGTAGAAGTGTGGAGTAAGTCAAAAGGTCAAAAAGTTTTTAGTGACGGCACTCGAGAACCTAGAAGCACTCCCGTCGCCAGCATTTGTGACAGATGTCCGGCGGCAATTTGAACGCGTAGCAGTCCTTCCATTTCTTTGAATTGTTTGTCGGAACAGATGCAATTTATTTGTTCCGAGAACGATTTGTTCAATGATTCTGCCTCTTGTCAGTTATTCATCTCGTAAGCTTTTTTTCGTGCTTTGCAGAACTCCACTTCTCTATCATTCGTCACTCTTCCGACGGTGTCTACATTCGCCATGCACTTTGTAGTGGAAGGGCTTCGTCGAGGTGAAGCCCTGTGCTATGTTCTTGGCATCACGGAGCCAAGGCACAATTATGAACCATTTCATCTTGCCCCAGTTGCAATTTCGGCACGCCATCCAACTGAAGGTGTGCATGTTTCCATTTTCTTGACGATACATGGCTTACTGCTCCGTAGCCCCATGATATGCATCTTATTTTAATTTAGATCTAGTCGGACTCGCGCTCATTTTCCATCCAGACCAGGATTCGCGATCAAGAAGAACAAGGAGAAGTGCAGAGCACTTTTATAAGGAGTCGTCAAACAGTGTTCTAAAACGAGTGCGAAGGGAAATGCTCGACGACTCGATTGATACAGTGTGCTTTCAAGGAGGCTAGTTCTTACTCATTATGTCTTTAACCCTTTGACGACCGCCGTTATGAATGCGTCACTTCACTTCTTTCTAAATTTTTTCATCAATAATCATTAACTCTCCAACAATTTCACTATTAGTAATTAGCGCATTATTCCGCGAATTCGATAATGTATTTGTGTAGTTTTGAAACATAAAAATGCCAAAATAAACCCCTAAAAACGTGTCGCCACCGAGCGAAAGTGTGGCCCACCGGCGGGCCACACGGTCGTCAAAGGGTTAATATGTAGCGGTCACAAGGCCCACCGCATGGCAAATGCGGCGCCGTCACTGACGTCCCTCCACAATTTTTGCTTTCAAAGGTAAGTTATCGTATCCAAACTCGCATTCATTAAGATAAATTAGTAAATGACACATGTAGGGACCTTCATGGTTTTCTTTTCCCTTCTTTCCCCCTCTTGCCTTCTTTCCTTACCTGCTATGCGTGCCGGTTTTGTATTAGATTTGACTTTATACAGTAGCGGTCAAAAGTGTTCGCCGAAACGATTTTTAGTGCATTATTTTTTCTCGCTTGAGCAACCTCCAAAGATTGATATACTATGTTTTCTAGTGTTTTTATATCCTCAAGTCTTAAAGAATCAGGATATTCAAAAGAAAATTTTTTCGAGGTCACCATTGATTTTTTCTGGCAAAAAAAGAGAAGCACGAAAAACCGTTTCGGCGAACACTTTTGACCGCTACTGTATGTAATTCCTTAAACCCGAAACGCTGCAAATTAGAGACAAAAGGCAAAATATTAATTTTTTCAAGAAGGATTGGAAAAGACCTACAAATCTGAACAGCACGTTCCTGCGACTTTGCGCGATCCGATCGCGTTTTTCACTCAGCATCTACTCACCATGATTGCCTTCTTGGACTTCAGGTTGAAGTAATGATTCACAGAAACCAGTATTTCTTTCTGAATCCGTCACGCGCGATCACTAGTAGCGGCTTGCAAATTTACATGGATGGAAATTCAGTATCCGGAAAGAAACAAGCTTATGAGAACTTTACTTTGTGGACAGTGCACTGACGCTTTTATACTTGCCTACGCTTCGACGCAAATCCTAA